TACACACGGTTGATGACATACAAGAGTTGGCTGCTGACCCAGTGACATTAAAAGCTGCAGCTATAGGGTAGGCACACAAACTTAAGAGGCTTTACATGCTATTTTTGTCAGTAGCAGAATTAACAGAAAGGAAATAAGCAAGAAAAGTGCATTCCCAGGCCTAGACACTTCTGCCTATTCCTACTTGTATGGGATTGGTGCCCTGAAGCACTGAGTTGCAACACCCTCTGGAGACTGTTGAAGTTACTCACCTCTGACAGATTTCTAAATTCTTAGGCAACAAGAAAAGGTGGAAAGAGGGACGATGTGTACAGGTTCCAGTCACTAGCATATAATTTTGCATCTTGGAGCACCTTGACTTTAAATGTTGCCAATGCAACTGTCTGAATGCATATTTCATTCTATTCTTTGTAATATTCCCCCTCTTCCAGAGTACCCGTAATAGGTCATTTTGATACTTGTCTGAGCAACAAACCATTGCCAAATACTGCAGATAGGAGAAGAGGAAGAAAAAAGGAAGCTATTACATGCCTATATGTGACTTAAATGGAAATATTGTTTAATATGAACCTGCTGACTGTTTCTCAGTTGATAGACTACATTTTGAGAAATAACAGCAGTAGTTCTGCTGGTGCACTGCGAAGTGTAAGGGAGATGCACTGGATTTAAGGACAAAAATATTTCACTGTCTAGTTGGGAGGAAAAAAAAGAGAAAAAGAAAAAAAGGTGAAAGTGATTGTATTTATATTCCAAAATAAAATATGAAGTGGCTACCTAAATGAGATCCAGATAGTTCAAGATGTCCACGTCAGCTTAGACCATTCTAGCAGAATCCTCAAATGTAAGATAACTAACAAAAGACTATCTACGATTTATGTAGAAAGTTACACCTCTGAGTTTTTTTTAAACTGTTTGAATACAGCCATCACAGCCCAATACAGCAATTATAGCTGCGTGTTTCCCATCAACTAAAGCAGTTTGGTTGCAAGTCAACTGACATAAGACAAAACCTTACTTGTTCCTTCTAAAAGGAAAAATCATCTGGGAAAGAAAGTCCCTCTAAGCTTTAAATGCCATTGCGATCATAATTAATCTAATCCTACTTCTTTAAACATGAAACAACAGCAAAAAAGATTATGTAGATTTTTGTGTTTCTTCTGCTGCGGAGAAGGTCACGGAACACAGGTATATCTGTGAGACACAAAACCCCAGTTCCTGTCTATATGTACCCATATTCAGTTACCACTTGTGGTGGTTTGACCCTGGCTGGATGCCCAGTGCCCATCAGAGCCACTCTATCACTCCCCTTCTCAAGTGGACAGGGGAGAGAAAATACAACGAAAAAGCTCGTGGGTCGAGATAAGGACAGGGAGATCACTCAGCAATTACTGTCATAGGCAAAACAGACTCGACTTGGGGAAAATCAGTTTAATTTCTTGCCAATCAAAACTGAGTAGGGTAATGAGAAATAAAACCAAATCTTCTGAAAAAAAAATCATAGAATCGTTTAGGTTGGAAAAGACCTTTAAGATCATCCAGTCCAACCATTAACCTACACTACCAAGTCTACTCTAAACCAATCAAGGGTAGACTAGACTAAAACATGTCCCGAAGTGCCACGTCTACCCGTTTTTTGAACACTTCCAGGGATGGTGAAGTGTTCAAAAAATGGGTAGATGTGGCACTTCGGGACATGGTTTAGTCTAAATCTAAATCTTCTAAATCTAAATCTTCTAAACCCATCCCTTCTTCCCAGGCTCAACTTCACTCCCGATTTCCTCTACCTCCTCCCCCTGAGCAGCACATGGGGACGGGGAATGGGGGTTGTGGTCAGTTCATCACACGTTGTCTCTGCTGCTCTTCAGAGGACTCCTCACACTCTTCCCCTGCTCCAGTGTGGGGTCACACCCATGGGAGACAGTCCTCCACAAATTTCTCCAATGTGGGTCCTTCCCATGAGCTCCAGTTCTTCACAAACTGCTCCAGCGTGGGTCCCCCACAGGGTCACAAGTCCTGCCAGCAAACCTGCTCCAGCGTGGGCTCCTCTCTCTCCACAGGTCCTTCCCACAGGGTCACAGCCTCCTTCGGGCACATCCCCCTGCTCCAGCGTGGGGTCCTCCCCGGGCTGCAGGTGGATATCTGCTCCACCATGGGCCTCCATGGGCTGCAGGGGCACAGCTGCCTCACCATGGTCTTCACCATGGGCTGCAGGGGAATCTCTGCTCCGGTGCCTGCAGCACCTCCTCCCCCTCCTGCTTCACTGACCTTGGTGTCTGCAGAGTCGTTCCTCTCACATATTCTCACTCCTCACCCCAGCTGCAGTTTGTGTCCCA